ATGATTGAACTGAACCTGAACCTGAACTTGACCAAAGTTTGGTTTCAGTTCGGTTCATAGGAACACTAATAAAAATATAACTAGCTATATATATACTTTTGATGTCTAATTTTAAGTAGTCTGTATTTAAGCTATTTTATTTAGAGTTCTACACTAAATGTCTGTACTTGCAATTCAACTATAAGGTTATTTATTTAAACTTTTTGGTTATAACTATTTTAGAGCTATTTCTTTAACTCTTACTATTTAGAATAGATTTTAAATATATACTTTATTTTAAAACTTGGCTATATTTTTAAAATAAACTTGCTAAAGTAGTTCATATTCTATTTGTATTTAAATTAGTATTTGTTGTGTTTCATTACTATATGTAAGAAGCTAGTAGAAACCAAGCAAATTGTTTCTAAGTAAATTTTTTTATAACTTTAAAATAAAATATTTCAACAACTATTAAACCAAACTTGTTAAAGTTTTTTTATTTTATATAGTTATAGAATTAAAATAAAAAAATTTACAGTCAAACCTTCATAAATGCAACCTCCATAAATGCAATACCTCTCTAAATGCACATTTTTGGCCTGGCTGTAAAAAATCATTAGTGCTAAATGCACATTTTATATTCTGCAAATGCACATTCACTCAAAAGATTTTCTATATTATACTAACCTCCCTAAATGCACGTAGCCAATCAGAATTCAGTATTCAAGTTGTGTTATACAAGCCTGCAGATCAAATATTAAAAGCTGCAATTTGATTGGCTTTTTCTAAATGCAAACCTCTCTAAATGCACGATTGAAGCTGGTCTGTATGCAGTGCACTTATGGAGGTTTGACTGTATCAAGTTTAGTTTAATAGTTGTTGAGATATTTTAATTTAAAATTTTAAAAAAACTCCTTAAAAAAAATTTGCTTAGTTTTTACTAACATCTCCAAATTTATATTATAAATACCTTTTATAATATTTTTATAATATAATTCATAGCTTAAACTACAAGCTTTCTAATTTGTTTTTTATTATTTACTTATTGCTTGTATAAAGTTTGATATTATATAAACCCAAATATCTACTTTATATTCTTTTTATAAATTATATTCTTGGTTTTATCAAACTACTAATTTAATTGGCTTAGTAGAGTTAGTTTGCTTAGGCTTTAAATACTTTATAGTTTTTTTTTTTTTAATATATATTTTTAAACCACTTTTTTTTTTCTATTATAATTTTAATAGCTAAAATTAATAGATCCTATTTTAAAAATCTTAAATAGTTTTGTAGTACTATTGAAGTCTTTACTACTTTTTACTTGGGTTTTGCCAAACTAGTTTAGATTTTTAAGTTCTTTCTATTATTTCAAAAGGTTTTATTATAAATTTGTACTATCTATACTAGTTATATTCCTTTATACAATCCAAGTATTTTATAAATACTTCTAGAATCTTTTAGTATACAAACTATATTGATATAACTAGAGTTACAAATAATAAAATCTAACTTGTTGATAAAGATCAATTATTGTTAATAAGATTCAAACTTGGTATTTTAGTTATAAAAGCTAGTTAATTTATTATAAATCTAAATTTGTATAAGTTTAGATTTATAAAAATTGGCTAGCTTTAATAATTATAATTGCAACTACAATTATTTAATTATAAAAAAATAAATTATATAGATTACAAAATTATACAAAATTCTTAGTAGTTAAGAATCCCAAGAAAGATAAACAGTTGTTATAGCAGGTTAACTTGGGTAGAAGTAATCCACTTCGGTAGTTTTTATTGGTCTAAAACATCTGGTTGAAAATATTGTAGCATGCAATGCATGCAAAATATATAACTTGTTCAATTGAATAAAGGCAGGATTGCTTAAAAAAAAAATAAAATAAAAAAAAATAATTAAAAAAAAATAATTAAAAAAATTAAAATTAAAAAAAAATAAAATTAAAAAAAATAAAAAAAAAAATAAAAAAAATAAAAAAAAATTAAAAAATTTTAATTATATAATTCAAGATTAACATTTTAAATAATAAAATAGTGTTTGCAAAACGAATTAATAAAATATGTTTATAAGTAATACTGCCAAAAAAATATCAAACATACTACAGTATTTGATCTATATTTATTTAAAAAGTATAATACTTTATTAATTAATACTTTATTGTGAAGCGTTAACAAATTCTTTATAGATGAACAAGCAGTAAGCACAAAGTTGAATTTCATATACAGTATATACAAAGAAATATTTCATTAATCTACGGTATATTATTAATCAATTTGGTATATTAGTAAATCTCAAAAGAAAAAAGCTGAGACGGAATCTGCAAAAGTCATGACAAATCCTTATAGAGCTATAATCCCAAAAAATTAGCTTTGCATTAGTATAATACTGGTCAATTTTGTAGTAGACCCGACTAGAATACGCATTAAATTTACATCTGCCCTATTTCAATATCTTCAATTGATTTAATATATCTAAATTGAAAAAAATTAATTTAATTGCAATCTCTAATTTTTTTAAAACATCAAAATCGACACATACCTCATCCAACACCTTAAAAATCTCTTTGGCATCAACCATAATGCTTTCAACTCTCAATCTTCCAATTTTTCTTGAATTCTTTTCACAAATCTCAATCCACCCATTAATACCACACTTACCATTCAAAATAAACTTGTCTTTAAGAACTTCAGGTAATTCTAAATGTCCAAAAGATATTTGAGTTATACAGGTTTTTTTACCAATTCCCAACGAACACGTAAATAATGACAACGTTCTATCATATGCTAGTGGATGTTTGAATTGCCATCCACTCTTATCATCAAAATAAATTTCGTAAGAATTTGTTTGGAAATGATAAATCGGAGCTTTAATGATTTGATATTTGTACATATCAAACTTTGAGAAGAAATAAAAAAAAAGGGCGGAATTAATTAGAAGGAATATGTAAAATGGTATCAAAAAAATTTGGTATTAATAAATACCGTGAGCAATAATCTTTTACCCAATATTGGTGTAGAAATATCATTTATGATTATTGGGATTAATTTGTTCCATTTTGTACAGACTCTGCGAAGTGATGCAAAGTATTCAAAGCTACATTTCCCACCAATTATCAATTCGAAAGTGTAAACACTTATTCCAAATTACCATAATCTAAGAAAGCAAATCATCATCATACCATGTCTCGTCTAAAACCTCGGTCAAAATTTGAATTAAAATTTCGGTTGGTAAATTTTGTGCCATCTACTGATCGTTGTATAATACTTCTAAAACAAAAAAGGCATTGCTTTTTATATTAATTACGTAATGAAATACTTCGTGAAACAATTTAAAATTTTCCCACTCACCAGAACCAATCTTGGTCTTTAACATATGATGATTAAACTAGTCAAGCGGCAGAACCCAAAATTATTTTTCTCTTTCGTTTTTAAATCAAAAACAATAATATATATTTGGTTATTCAAGGTCCGTGCAAATATTTTTATTATCTCTATCGCTACGAAATCCCGAAAATTACAGGATATATTACAGGATTTTTTTTTTGTTTCAAAAAAAAAAAAAAAATCAGTTTATTACAAAAATTCTAGAAACTTGATTGAAACCTTTTTTGCGCAAGTTTCTTACTCGTTTGGGTTTTATATCAATTGTAACTTATGAATATTGATAGGGATCTACATAATTCATGGAACTGCAATGCCCTAGCGCATCACCAAACTTGGCTAATTTTTAAGGCCAGTTATCTGATTACCTAATTTAATTAACTTAGAATAGTGTCAGAGCTATGGAAACTTCCTAGATATCAGAAAAAAAATTTTTTTGGATTTTGGGCCAGCATTGAAAAATTAAATCATAATTCAGGCTATGTAATAGCCGAATTAATTCAATTCACCACCCAAATTTTTTTCAGAACATATAATATGATCGTCCAAAGTGAAGCGAAGCGGAGATTTATTACTGTATTCATTTGCATTGTTACATATTTCGAATAAATAACTTCACATGATCTGAAAAAAATTTGGGTGGTGAATTTTACCCAATTGCCGAATTCCTTAATTAGCTCAAGAGATTGTGATCAATAAAAGCAACTCTTATTTATGGAAGCAATTTCTTTTCTATTCATTATCTATTTATTATTTTCCTCATTCCATATAGACTGATTAATAGTATTCGTTGATGATAAATTCAATTATCCGGCAGCTTATTATGATTCGTCTGCCCAATAAATTTATTATTCGGCAGAAACTACATAGTTGCCGAATAATAAAATTGTTATTGGGCAGACTATCGTCATAAGTTACCGGATAAATCCGTTATCAATCATGCAGATGCCTTATAACTTAATTATTTGGTCAAATGATTTAAAGTCAGCCTAAGAAGTTGAATTCCTTCGGAATTCAATTTCTTAGTCTGATTTTAAATCTTTGACCAAATAAACCAGTTATCAGGCAGTGCCTGCCTGATAACTATTAAATATTATTCATGAACTTATATAACTTATAAGATTGATTAATTATTCATACACTTATGAATTACTGTAATTAACGCAACAAATGAAATTAAGCAATAAATTTAATGAACTTGTATATTTCAAGCAATAAATATTCTTTATACTCGTATGCCAAACAAATGCGCTTCAACTTCATCATAGTCATTTAATTATTCATATAATCCCCTTTTAATGGTAAATAAGTTCTAAAAAATACGACAACATAAGATGTATTCGTAGACTCACGGGATTCAAAAAAAAAACCAATTTACAAAGATCGTCAATCCACTGAATACTTATTAATGTTCTTTATGTTATGCACTAATTTACTACAAATAAGACTGATAATAAATACTGTATTTATGAACTTTAATAACACTTTAAAATGTATATTAATAAATTTCTTTCACACTAAATCATTGCAAATAAAATTAAATTACATCATAATTCACAAGAAATTTTTTGTTAGTGCGTTGTAGTGGTTTCATAGACAAAATTTTAAGTTATCGTGCAAGCTCTTATGGTCATAGATTTTTTCTTTTTGTTATTTTTGTACGTTATTACATAAGCACAACAATGACTTGTAAAGCATGATCATGCGATGATAAATATCATAAAATTATTGGTAAAAAAAGTGATTTCGCTTTACAGTATACCTGAACTGGAGATCTAACTGCATTGATTATTAGAAGAGAACTGATTGGTATGTCTTTAACGGTCTCGCTGGGTGGCTTGACATGTGAAGAATCAATAATGTAATACGAATTACAACCGAATAATTCCATGATACATACCAGCTAATTGCAGATTTCAATAAAATATACTTACGTATATCATTGTCCATATTCCTGTAGCTTATATAGAATATTTATAATGTTTCTTGTAATTTCTTCCGTTTTGTCTTTTGTTAGTCTTTCGTTAGTCTTTCGTTACAGTCCTTGGTGATCACTAATTATCAATCTATCTATCGGTAAAAAATTCGGTTTGAAAAAACAATATTATGAATATTTAAATAATAAATATATGAATCTATATTGGAGCAGTTCAAAAAAAAAAAAGAAATTTAAATAAAACGACCGTAAGTTGCTAAAGTACCAGAATAATGTTGGGTAATTCTGCGAAGAAATTTGAGAAAAATTTTTAAAATGAAAAAAGTAGGGTTGTATTTCTCAAGAAAAGCTAATAAAGGAAAAGATGATTATTGAAACAATGTTTAGAACCTTAAGTGATTCAGAGTAAGCGATGGCATATATGATTTACCAAATTGAAAAAATAAACATGAACGTTGAGATAAAGTCATCATCCCATTTTTAAATAAACCAAAATTTAAAAAAAAATACAGTTTTCTGACACCGGGAACTCCAAGATAATATATCTTAACAGATATCGAAGAAAGGAAAAGACAATAACTACCGAAGCAGCCGAAACAATCGAAACAATGTCTAGAGTCTTAAGCGATTCAGAATATAGTTATGCTGTGTATAATTTACCATATACCGGGGTAAAATCTCCACCCAAAAAAGTTTCGAAAATCATGTGGTATTGTCAATTTATCATGATTAAGATCATGAAAATAATATTTAATAAAGTATTAATTGATTTAGTAAATGATTTTGTTTTCTTCGATTCTTCAAAATGTAAAACGATCGTTGCAATCTTTTAAAAACATAAAAATACACGTTGTTCGCCGTAACCAAATTTCCATTAATGATAAATGAAAAAAAGAAATAATTTATAAAAACTAATCAGGCAAATAAAATTACACCAGAAATTTTTATAGATGTTATTTTGAATGCTCTTCCTGAAGACTATAACTCTGATTATTTATTTGAGCAAAAAGTTTTATATTCTGAATCCAGACCGCAATAAAAAAATTATTATAGAAAACATGATTAATCCAAATAGTAACAAATAGATCGATAATAAAGCTAATACATAAATTGTTGGAGGATTATAATCATTTTAAAAGGCAATGGAATACTTAGAAAAATCGTAATAATAATACGTTCTGACTGTAATAAATATTGCGCTGATCGAGTTTATTTGAGATAATAAAATGATTAATTTATTGCTTATTGTTATTATTTTTTAGTCTATAAATTTTTTGTTTGTTCAAGTTAAATGTCTTTTTGGTATATTTGTCACGTGATGGTAGAAATTTTTTTGGGTGGCGATTTTACCCCGGTCCTATATTATCTTGAAGAAAATCCTTTCATGAAGAATATTTTTAAATGAAAGAAGTTAGATCATGAACGGATAAATTTGTGCAATAATTTGAGAAGCATTGAGTTTGTTCGAAATATTTAAGAACTAAATTTATACCTTTTTTTTTTTCTAAATTAATTTTACGATATATAATCTATTGTAGTAATGGGCGTCTTCCTCAAATTTTCTTTGCATAATACATGGGACGTAAAAAGAAGACCAGTAGTGGCGAATGAAAACTTGAATTTTAGCCAATCATCAGATGTAACGTGAAAATCAAATAATCGTATAAAGTAAAGTAACCATACAACTCTAAATAATCAATATTATGGTGAGGAAGTCATCTTATAAAACTGTCCTAAGAGCTTTAAAATTTACATTTAATTTAGTGCTTGATTAGGATGGTTGTATTATATATTAAAAGTTTTATGAGGAATTACTCAGCGATGAAAAAGTAGAAATATCGATTTTTTTTAATCGATCAATGTCTTTTATCTTTCTTATTTCTGTATTGTGTGTTAGAATTTCGGCATGTGAACTAAATGAGTCTTTATAATTGTTTAATCGAAATAGCATATTGTATTATAAAGAATTCAAACACTAGTATTTTTTGATATTAATTTGATAAAAAAGGTCTGCCAGTTCTCTAGCATTAGATATCTCTTTTATGCTTTTAATATTTTATTAGTATTTAAAAATTAAATTGAAAATAATCAAATCTCAGTTTATCATTTGTCATAATTTGCACCATTCGCATATTAGAGACGTATCTCATTTAAAAAAAAAAAACTTTTTTATGAATTGTTTTTAAGACTTCTCACATATTTTTTAGATTTATCTTTGAAGTATTATAGTTTTATTATAAATATATTTCTTACTAAGTTTTAAAAATTTTATAATTACAGCATAGCAGATATCATGATATTTATCCGTCACACATAAGAAAAAAATTTTCTAAACTAATATTTTCTCAAGGAAAGGTTTTAGCTGGCGTAATTTAATTGTGAACAATTTTATTGACCGGCAATTGGACAGTTCTTAGTCATTTGAGTCATGAGATCGGATGGATTATAAAAGGTCTCAAGAGAAGTTATTTGATATTTGTCATTAATCGTCGCAACAGTGACGCCGAAGATTTCTACTACTTCATTTGTTGGTTCTGCCACCAGTGTCTTTCCATTTCGAATCGGACATTTAAGTGTACCTGTCATCTTGCCCCACTATAATTTTTTTTTTTTGATAAAATAAATAACCGCTCATCTGATAACATATCAAATAAGAAACAACTTACATGACGCCATTTAAAGGAAACTCTTGGAGGGCCAGAATAGACTTCGAGAACTTCCCAAGCAAAACCAGCGGCTAAAGAATTTCGGAATACGTCGTGAGATTCCTCAAAACCTAAACGACTCGCTGAATAGAATTCAGACTCGCCAATAAGTGCATTGTAAGTTCCAATTTTTAACATATCTTCCGCAGTTGACCAAGGACCGCCGTTTGTAGAGAATCTATCGAAAAAAAAATTTAGGATAAAGTGGTTCGAAAGTTATCTAGATAACATATATATAATAATAGTATTTTGATGTTTTTACTTGTAAACTTTATGATCAATAGTGCGCCATTCTTCAGCTTTTTTTTTGTGAGAAGCTTCTTTTTCCCAATTTTTTACAAGATTTGTTACAAGATCCTCAAGAGACCCCGCGGTATGAATCTTAGAACGTTCCGCTTCATAACGTGCATTGGCCTTTGAATAATCAGGGGTTTTGCCATTGAGCCATTCTACCTTGTCCTGAAGGACGGCATTTTTGTCTGTCATGTAATCTGGAATAGCCATTTTGTGTGAAAAATAGTAAGTCTTACGCTACCCTTTTTTATACCACTATGTAAAAAAAATAGCTTAACCATATCCGGAAAATCAGAAGAGAATTACAAAGATATTTATTAATTTGGCATTTATTTTCCATTTTTCGTAGCTCCTAATGTTCACTATTGATATACATACTTACCTGCTACATACCTGCTTACAGTATCTGATACTGTATGTACGTATCGAAAAATAGAAATTACGAATCAATTTGTTATTCCGTATGGATCTTCATAGAAAGGGCTGAATGAAATACACAAAATAATCATTCTGTAATTAGAGTATTCTCGAACACTCACTCATTGAATCGGAGGCAAAATTTAATTAGTCAGAATTCGATAAACTAACCTAGGTGAGTTATCATTTCAATGAGGTGCAGACCATTTTTTTTCATGCTTACTCTGATTGACTAAAACTTCAAATCTGTATTCACTTAATTAATTTTTAGCAATAACCATTCAATTAATCTCAATTAATCTCAATTAATCGCAATGATTTGTGCAAAATATCTCAATCATTAGCAAATCATATCGAGAACGGGGAATTGTAACTAATTGCAGTCGTATACTCCGATAGGTGCATATTTATGTGCATTTACTATTTTTAGGGAGATCGGCATTATTACTATACTTAAGATTAAGCATAATCAAATTGCGGGATCACGGGTTGAATTAAAAAATCTTCACCGACAGGTCACCCGATGAGTCACCCAGGTTAATTAAAAAACAAGCCCAGGTGATTAATGTCTCGAAAATAATACGTCGTTCTAAAGTGATAAAAGTTTTTCAATACATCCATATCGTTAAAAGTGCTTGAGAGTATTTAGAAATTTTCTGTCTAACCCAGCGGAGATGTTTTGAAAGAACCATATTTCTGTATTTACATCGATATATCAATTTATTGAATCTATTATGCCGAAATCATAAACTTAATTGAATCAGCAAAAATTATCCGGCCAATTTTTGTCAGGTGTCTCAGAAATTATGATAATAGCTTCAAGCAGAGTATGGATATGATAATGATTCTGGCTGATTTATAATGTACTGCAAAACTATGAGCCAACCCCGTGGGTCAACTCACAGGTCTCCCACGGGTCATCCGTGGGTCAACCCGCGGGTTGACCCACCCGTTTTCACTTGGGTTGCCATAACTTAACCGGGTCACCCATCCACCCGCGGGTGACCCGGGTGACCCGGGTGACATCCATCCGGGTCAAATCACCAATTGGAATATCAAAGGGTGCTAAAATTTTTATATTATATACTGTCTTTAAAAAAAATTAAAATTCCAAAATTTGTTTATTAAATGGGCTGAGTACAGTAGTGCAAAAAAGGGGGGAAATCGATAAGTTTTCAAAAATCTTTTTTACACAAATCAATTTTGAATAAGATCAGTATCATTTTTCACTTAAAACACAAAAGCAGTCGTATCAGTAAAATTTTGTAATATAGCTTTTTAAAGTTTGTATTTTCTTATGATTTATTATAAAATTTACAACAAAAATTGATCTTTTGTTTTGTCGATTTCCCAAATAGGCTCTTTAATAAAGAATATTAAAATACTGAAATATTTAGAGTAAGTTATTCAAAGATAGTAAATATAGTATTTAATACGTATTAATTCAATAGTTAAGTGGAATAATATCAGTATTTAAAACAAGCTTTTTATATCATGAATATTTACTGAGATTATAGAAATTCAGTTGGTACCGTACAGCGCTACATATAGTACCCCCTTGAAGAAGTATTCCCTTTAAATAGTATCGAGAGTACTATTCAATTGTAAATTCTAACATTTTTGAAAGTATTCCGTTACTAATCTAGTGACGAATCAATGGTCCTGTTATATGATTAAATACGATTAGTATTCTTCTTGTATAGTATCTCCCTCCACACACAGTACGGATTTTGTAAATTACCAAGAATACTGTATGTCTATATGCAGCGTTGTGTGATAAAGCAGTGATGCACATTGGACAAAATTGGACATTTGGATAGATTGGATTGGACGTCCAATCCAACGTCCAATCGTGATTTTTAGACTTTTGGCGTCCAATGTCCAATGGTCCAATGGTTTTGATTGGACATTGGACGTCCAAGATCCAACTATTTGGATTGGACATGACAACACTGGGTATGGGTTAGCAGATCAGTATAGTACATGCTAATTTTGAAAACCATACTATGCTGATCAGCCACAAACCCTAATCCTAATGCTAATATATGCAGTATAACATCGGATAAGTATGTTATAGATTTAAAAATTGGCTGATCTGCCGTAATATTGTAATGGTATATATTTTATTAATTACTCATTAATTTAGTAGAAGACAAACAAAGCATATTATTACTATATAAAACTAATCCATATATTAAAATTTCTGTGATTATGCAATGCTGACAGCATTGATATTTATTTGAGGTCGCCAAGAGTGAACCTGTCATTGGATTTTAAATTTGTTATATGTAAACACAATTCCTAAGTCCGAAAATCCGATAACGGGTTATCTCTTTGCGGCATTATCGTTCAATGATGGGCCATAATAACCGGTTATCTATTTAAATAATATAAAAATATTTAACTAATTTTATAAAATAATTTAGAAATAAGGGAATTAGGGTTCTGCATCAGGCCGGGCACTAATGCCTTATGCCATGTCTATGCCTATAGGCACAAAAGTGCCAGGCAAAATGCCAGGCACAATTAAATAACAAATATCAAATTTCTATGACTGTACCCATGCCCATGCCAAGTTTTTTGTGCCTGTGCTCATGCTAGGCAGGCCCAGGTTGCAGACCCTTAAAGGGAATGACGTTATGCAGGGATTAGTGGATTTCAAGTTATATAACGACATCTTTAATATACTAAGAGGGGGATCTAAAAATTGTAATTTTTTATCTATATAGGATGCGTGAAGTGTTTCTGTACGTACAAATCCGTGCGTTTGATTGGATGTCCCCTTCACCGAATTTACTAAATTTATCCCTGATTAATTAAGTGAAATAACGGTAATCTACATATAAAACATCCACTTACCATTTTTAGTATTTGATTAATTGAAACGACAGCCATGTGTGTATGCATTTGACTGGTCAATAAGACACTTCTTTTGTATTTTTATGGATATTTTCGGAATTTCTAAGATTAACCATAGCGATAGCTGCCGCAACAAAGTTGGACCAGTAGATTCTCGATTCTGACCACACAAAGTTAATTTTTCGTTTTGCATTACCCGCCGGCCCATTTTTTCAATTTTTCGTAAGTTTTTTTTTAGGCTCCAATTGTGCCAATTTTTCTATTTTTGCATTTAATTTTTTCCCCATAAATTAATCCGGTATCACCCGATGAAGACCTTATTTTTCCGGAATTGTCCGATAGAGCTGATAAAAAAAATTCGATTGCCGACCCAATTTTTGTTTCCATGTTATGCAAAGCGAAAATTAACTATGCGTGGCCTTAAATATGAATATGAGTCTAAGAGCGTCGATCAAAGAATTAGGCCGGAATTACTCGGAATTTTCTAATGAAATCATAGCCGCCCACTGAATGAAAATTGTTCCTGGGCCAATTTTACCATAAAGCAAGCTTATTTTTTAAAAATTTCTATTTTTGTAATGAAAAAATTAAAAAGTTAATTCCGGCCGGAAATTAGTAATGTGGGCCAAATTTTTGAAGTTCCTCGGTCGTTAGCCAATCAAAATCGAGGATCTGCCGGTCCAGTTTTGTTGCGGCATCTATGGTTAATATTGCCAAGTGAACTGCGCATTTATATTCCAGAGTTCTTTCGTACGCATACGTAATATATATGCAACATATCAACCCTAGCGCACCCATAAAAATTGATCCCTCCCGTGATTTGACCTCAAGATCAGGTGTAAACAATCGATGTGAATCCATTTTTTTTACAAAAAAAAACACTAAATTTTAATTAAGAAGCCACCTTCTGCGGCCTAATTAAAAATTTTCCTTGTGAAATTTTATTAATAGAAACTTTATCGTCCTAACCTTAACCTTGATACTAACCCTAACCTAAATTACAACGTTTTATTCTCAGTAAAAATTACAGGGGGATCAATTCTTGTGGGTGCACTACCTAAGTCCATGCATAGCTGACATTGGATTTTATTTACGAGACAGTTATGGCACTTACAGTATTATTATCTGTAAAAATGTGAACTGTATGCTGTATTGACGTATTACTGTAATGCGATGCTGTAATGCCGTATTGCTGAAATGCTGTAACAAAAATGGAAGGAATTGCGATGGAAGATTTAGAAGGTGTAATGAATGATTTAAAGATTGTATTGATAGATTGAAAGTCATAGTAAAGATTGAGAGAGTATTATTTTAAATAAAGTACGCGACAAAATATCCGGAAAATTATTATAATTATAATTTGAAAATGGCTTGTTTAATGTCGGTGATTTCAGGTTTGAATAAATGCCAAAACTTGAGATACATTTAATACCAAAATTATCGAAAACGGAGCAACATTTATCGATTCGAATTTACAAAAGAAAAATGATCCATCATCACATAAAGTAATTCAAGGATAGGCATGCCGTTTTCGATGATTTTGGTTTACATGAATTATATCTCTAGGGTTCAAAGTATAATTAATCAAAAATCATAAAAAAAGGCATAACCGTTTTCGAGATATTAGCATCATCTGATAACACATTCATTATGAAATTGGTGGGAAAACATATATTTTTGACAATTTTGGGGTTAAATGAATGCACTGAATTGTAGCATCCGTTAAACCAAATTCATTAAAAACAATTTAGCTATTCTCGAATTACAGAAAATTTTTGAATTTGTTTTTTTTAATATAAACACATATGTCAATTGGCAATATTTCAATGTCGAATTATAGAAAAAGCATTACTGCAATATACTTATTGTGATATAATAATTTACAGTTTTTTACAGCATTGCATAATTAATTACGACATATACTATAACGTAGA